GAAATGGGCGAGACAGAAGCGGAAGGTGATTGTTAAAGAGACAGAGGCCAATTTCAAGGCGTTTAGAAGAGGAAGTGATGAGAAGATGAGTTTATTTTCTATTTGAACATAAAAACAGCATTTTAATAACAACTAAAGGTAGCATGGATACTTTATTATGCTGTAGTATTTAAATATATGCCTGTGAAACACATAATATTGCCTCTTTAAAAGGTTAGTCTAGTCATTTTTGAAGTGATGTTCTTTCAAATAGTTTTGAGTAGTTAGTATCAGCCAGGACAACAGAGGTCTTTGTGGAGGTGGAAAGTTCATCATATCTTTTCTTCGCTGTTTTTTTAAGGTGAWATGTTTTAAATGAACCAAAACAAATTTTGTTATTAAGACATTTCACTTCACTAAATGAAAAAAAAAAATCTCAGGGTTCATGTGCTGACTTGACTAGTACTAAAAATAAGAAATTTAATAATAATAAAAAGTAGTAATTTGTAAGTGTGGATAAGAAAGCAGTGTATGAACAAATGCTTTTCCTGGCTCTAATAACTACCGGTATTTCTTTTTTGAAAATAAGCAAATAAATAAGGTAAAGTTTTCCAAAAAAAAATCACCTAAGCCAGAAGGTAATTTTTAAATTTTACTGTATACAAAGGAATAATTTAGAAACAATAATGCCCACTTTAGTTGTATGATGTTAACTGTTTTCAGGTCAGGTGCAATTTGTAGACAAGTTTAGGTCTCCAGCTCATCATTGTCWTGCTTTAAAATTATGTGAAATAGCTCCTCTGTAATGACTGACAGATAAAGAGATCTGTGAATTAGCCTTAAGCTTTCTCAACAAGCAACAACTTATGTTGCAGCACATCAACATCAATCCTGTGCATGCTGATGCTGCCTGTCATAAAATCCTCTCCCAATGTGTGTTTAGAAACATGTTTATGGATTAGTGTTGTACTTGCTTCTCAACAGTCTTTAAAGAGAGTATTTGTATTTTAGTATTCAAAAATGTTTCTAAGTATAGTCAACTCTTTAGTTTAGCTAATTAACATTTACACAGAGCCGAGTAAAGCTTCTTGTTGTAGTTTRGATCACTGAAAAATCAGCGTCATATGTGAAAAAACTAAAACATGATACAAGTTGAAGTAATAAGTTAACCTTTAAAGCACTCATCATTCAGACGACTATCTTTATTCATTGTCACAGAAGATTACTCCATCTCTTGTAGCGCGTTGCTGAACTCATGCTGAACTTTTTGTTGTTTTGAACGAATGAAATAAAGAAAAGAAGTCATTGTTTTTRTCTGTGATGTTGCATAGTTATTGACTGTGTGTCCTGCTGAGGCAGATTACACGCCGAAGATGCCTTGCTTCTTTAATGTCATTTAGGCTCCTCAAATACAGATTCCTGTTCAAAGTACGCTWTATCAAACATTGACAAGCTGTGTTTATTTTATGATTTCCCATGAATATTTATGAGAGAAATGATTTCTTACCAAATCTGGATTTATAGTGAAAAGTATGTTTTTTTTTTGTTTGTTTGTTTGCTTGTTTTTTTACTAACAGCAGGGTTGTGATTTGGAAAAGCTTTGTAAGCAAGATTCACATGAATCTCAGCTCAGTGTATGGCTCAATTTGTTCACAAGTCGCCTGGGAACACAGCTATTTTCCAGCAGGCATTCAACAAATATGTATCAAAACATAGATTTTCTCAAAAGGAAGTATTTTTTTTTTTCTTTTGTTCCTTGTTTGGTAATAGCTGAATTCATTTTGTAGATAGACTGCAATAATAGATATTTCAAAACAAAAAACAAAGCAAGCTGTGTTGTGGGGAAACCTACTTTACCTGAAGGAGACATTATGTCTACTTCACTGTCCCAGGAGAGACTGCCTGCTGCATGTTTTGTGTGTGTCTGTGTTTTATTTACATCTCTGTTTGTCTTCATGCATATTTCCACTTTTTATTTTCCTCCACATAACTTTAAAATTTCTTGTGCTATGTATCAGGGTGTTTTTAAGACATACTATTTTACAAAGAAGTTTTCAGTCACTGAACTCACTTATTATTGTAAAAGAAATTATTTCTGCACAACATAAGCTGCTAATAAACAGGATAAAAGTTTATTACCACCCTGATATCTGCTAAGTACAGAGTTATTATGTATACGTATACGTTTAGTTTGCAGTGTTCAGTTTAGCAGCAGTTTTTAYTGGGTTGATGCAAATCAGTGACTTGAATAGACCTTACTTTATTTTCCTCCATAAACCTACATAAACTCATTTTAAAATATTTAGTCTTGTATAAAATAAATACAAACAAAATGGTTAACATGAAATTAATTGTTGAGTTTTGAGTTAAATAYGTGTTGCTTATAATGTTAGCTTCAAAGGTATAGCTCAGAAACTCCCAAGTAAGATATCRTGGATGAGTTATAGACAGTATCTTACCTGTTGTAGATAAATAGCTTAAGTTAAGAGAGAGTTAAATTTTAAGTTAATATGGACAAGACTAAAGTGGATTGTTGCTCTCTTAAAACACATTTATATTTTATATAGCTTCAAATCTTTTATATCCTTGACAGTTTTGTGTAACATATTTGTTTTCATAGAATACTATAATTATTTGTAAGTACAGTTTTTTGACAGTAGCAGCTAGTTGTAACACTTCCAAAGCAATCTGAGACACTTTTGTTAAATTATACTTGATCTGAAAAAAAGTTATGCAAACATAAAGGTTTTTAAAGGTGTAAAGGTTTATAAAAAATGCTCCTAAGTCATTGTTTGAAAACAGCAGTAATTCACTTTGATCCTGCTCCTGTTCAGACCAGCTGATCCATCAAGTCCGAGTCAAACTAATTCTCCAGATACAACAGATATTATTGTTCATAACTAATCCACAGAATCCCACTTTAAAATATCAGAAGTGTTTAGCTTAATATAAAATTTTCTCTATTGTTTTTTGTTTCTAACAAACAACTCCACTTATATAATTGTACATATTTTTCGTTAAATATTTTGCCAGTTAAACTTGCACATTCTCCTAAATGTGAAATGTTTAGTCTTTAAATTGTATTGTCTTTTAGTATAAAATAAACTATGAATATACAGTAGTTTGATCCTAGCATTTTAATAGTGTCTCAGACACATACTGTATTAGTGAGTCAACCTTTAAAATAATTAAAACCTGTGGGTAAGAAGGGGCATCCTTAAGTTCATTATTTGAGGTTTTCTAGTTGCTAATGAGCTCTCGTTTTAAGTCCTGACTCCTCTTTCTCCTTGATTCATTTTTGCCTGCTATCTCTGTATTTCTCTCTTGTGCTGTTTATGTTGCTGACTTTACTGCCGCCTCACCTTCTGTCCATATGTGTGTGTGTGTGTGTGTGTGTGTGTGTGTGTGTGTGTGTGTGTGTGTAATATATATATATATATATATATATAAATTTTTTCCTAGTGGTTTGCTTTGATGCCAAGATCAACTTTGATGACAATGCCGAGTTCCGTCAGAAAGCTGTGTTTGCCATGGACGACATGTCTGAGAGTGACCCCACAGAAATGGAGGCAGCCAAGTGGGACCTCAAATATGTTGGAATGGATGGAAACATCGCCTGCTTCGGTATGGATACAAAGCCCTGTAACAAACCCCTCTCACCTGAACGCACATACACCAAGAAATAAATGAGTTCGCCACCTTAAGCAGACACCTCCTGGCAAAGGGCTTTAATGTCCCCCTTAAATCACACAAGTAAAAGCTCTGACACAGATAAAACTTAGACAAACTAAAGGTAGCCTGGGTTCTCCTCCAGTCAACATAACAAGCTGCTTTCTGAAGACTCCAGAACGAATGCTGCCATAACCAATGCATTCTAATTAGCTATAATCCGCCCAGAAAGTCTCTAGTGAGCCAGATTGTTAGCATTCTCATTAAAGGGCTCCTCTCTTGTCATAAATCAAAGCTTTTACAGTGTGCAGCAGCACTAACAGGTGCTCTCGCTCCTTACCCCGTAGCCTCATAAACACATTAGATGTCTGTTAGCATGACTCCCCCTTCGAGCACACGCTCGCACCCGATCCTGCATCCACAGCTCCCACTCTCTTAAAATAACATCAGCTTTTAAGACCCCGCAGTTTCTTTGAGAGCTTTGTAAGCCACCAAAGTGACAGCTGTTAAAGCAAATTTCCCTTTTATTGAGACCTCAGTCGGGGAGCTTGCCAGGACACAAATTCAGCTTGGCTAAACCAAATGAGGTAAGACATACAACCCAGCAGGGTGCTGATACTGTCAGAGGGCTAAATGATGAGACAGTCCACTAAAAAAGCTGAATCTTGTTTAATTAAAACTTCTTTCTCTGAAGATAACGAACACATTGTGAACATGTTTCTCTGTTCCTTAATGTTCATTTTCCTCGTGTGAAGACTTCAATCAAAATATTTATTAAGTTTGACAATTTGTTCAGCCTTTTTTTTATACAGTAGAGCTGTTTTATTTACCAATATTTGCTGACAAAACCCAGTTTTGTTATATTTAATATAGAAAATGTAGACTCACTGTAAAAAAGGTCTTGTATTCATGTTTATGTAATTTTATTGGTCAAATATATTAAGAAGAGCATAACTACGTACCAAAAGTCTTTGTTTGACAGAACCMTTTTTATGTTTAAAAACTTTATTTGTGACATATATGAACAGAGCAGAATAGATTTTATTTTTTGTTTTTCGTTTTTTAACCAGTGAATGGAGCTGGTTTGGCCATGGCAACATGCGATATTATTGACCTGCATGGTGGAAAACCAGCTAATTTCCTGGATCTTGGGGGCGGAGTCAAAGAGCGACAGGTCTACGAGGCTTTCAAGCTGCTCACTGCCGACCCAAAGGTAGGATCTAAAGAAACAAGCACTGTTAGCTYACCACTTGTTAGTGTTTTTATTTTCAGCCATGCTTCCTGTTRTAGAATAAAGCTTTCTTTTTCTAGTTTCCTATTTGCTTCTGAGACAACATTTGTCATTAAACAGGAGACCTCAGCAGTGCTCCACGTTTCCTGAGTGAAACAGACGACAGGCTACTGTGTTGTTTTCAACCTCAGCTCTGAATCTGGCTCTTAAAGTCTTGTTTTGACAAAGATCATCATGTGCATATTAACACACAGCCCAGTCAATCAAAAGCATGCTTCTGAGGGACTTAGCTCTGTGTGAGTGACAGCTCAGAGCATTTTACAAACGATTCTACTCTATGTTCAGAAATCTAATAAGTCCAGACTAAACAATGTGAGCCTTGTAAAAATACTGTGGGGCTGATTGTGTGTTGACTGTCATCACATCACTAATTCTCTCACTGCTGTCACTCTCTTATCCCGGCGCTGATCTCTGGTTGCCTTTGTGTTAGCATCTCTGGCAACCCTTTGTTGTGTGGAATGCAGAGTTAAACTAGATAAAAGTTTAGCTCTCAGCCAAGATAATTTTTTTTWAACTTTTATTACAATAGCGAATGCTTCTTTGACTTGGTACAGAATGATCTGAAATTGTGTTTCGCACTAATTTCGAGCTGTGATAGCTTGTCTGGGGGTGTTTTCACCTCTGGGAGTGTTAAAAACATAATCTTAGAGACACCTGCAGCAGCATGTAGATGTCTGCTTTGTTGTCTGCAAATAATATTTGTTTTACTACTAAATACTATTATAAAAGTGTTATGTAGGCACAGAACTTTGTCTATTGCAGAGGTACAACTGATATATGAACTTATGAACATTTGTAAAATGACAGRTGACATGTTTTGTACAGCTAAACATAGTATTAGACGGTGTCTGTTTCCATTTTTGATATTACCACACAGCCGTCTAACCTGTTTTCCTTCTACACAACAGAGCTGCATATTGATCAGGTATTTCATATTCAAAGTCAATGTGTTGACTGATATCATAATTTTATTGATTCTTTCACAAAATAGTGTATGTACAATTGTTTACTTAAACAATGTGYTTATGTGATGACTGCTTTTGCTGCTGTTGTTCTACAGTGGAGCCTTCTTATTAGCTATCCAGATATCAATTGACCAAAAATCTTCCCACAGTTGACATTTTACACATAGTGAGTGGTAAGTACTCAGTTAATATTAACAAGATCTTAGTTTTATCCTTGGCACATAAGATATTTTATTTGTATGACCACTGCATTTACTACAGCATCATAACAAAGGTAGGTAAACCCAAATGGTAAATGATCTGAACCCTAAAAGTGCTTTATCAAGTCCCTATGGACTCCAAAGCGCTTCATTTATACACACATTCACACACTGATGGTGGTGAGCTACATTGTAGCCACAGCTAAACTGGTGCACACTGACAGAGGCAAGGCTGTCATGCACCAGGCCCACCAGACCCTCCAACCACCACCAGCAGTCAAAGTGGGTGAAGTGTCTTGCCAAAGAGCACAATGGCTGAGACGAACAGAGTGGCGATTCAAATCGGCAAGCTGCCTGTTGCAGGACGTACCCCAAACTCGTTGCCACCCTCACCTCCCAAATGCAGATTTCATTTGATGTTAATTGCATATGTTAATATAAAATAAAACTACAGGTGCTGCAATGGCAGGAGGGACAAAGGGAATATTAAACCAGCTGAACTCAGAAAAAGTAAACCAAGGCAAAACACAAAGAATCACATGGAGCAATGACAACATGAGAAGTTAAAAATATGTAAAGAAAACTCAAACTGCAAATAAACAAGGAAGTGATGGATCAAAAGAAACAGAAGTGCTGATTTCAAAAGTGAATCAGATGTGACAAAATAGCAAAAAGCAAAACCAACCAGGAGCTGATTCTACAAAAAGGAAGTGAATGTGATGGGAAGAAACAAGAATTGCAAAAACGACACTTCAATGTATAATCTCCAAAAAATGTAGCAACTATTTACTTTTCTCGCTTTCAACCAGTATAAACAATAAAAATGCAGTATTGAAAGTGATAATATATTCTTGCATGGTGAGAATACATAAATTCAGTTCTCTTTCGCCAGTGTTGCACTGATTTATTATGAAAAGACTATTTCAAGGTAGGTCTTTTAAACACKGTGTTAAACAGGTGAGTGTTTTACACCTTTCCAGATGAATGCATAAAGCCTGCTAACTTTAACACCACAGCAGGAAATACCTCGCTCCGGTCAAATATCCACTCTTTGATCGATTTGGCCTTTTGAATTAAAGCCAGTAGAGTGTGAAGGAAAAGGAATATGATGGATAAAAAAAGAAATGCAATCAACAGGAGGGAAAACTTCACTCATTTCTCATCCCCCATATGGAACATCATGATCATTATTATAATACCCTTTAAAAACAGATTGAATGTTTGCAGAGATAAAATCAAAGAGAGAGAGAGAGAAATCCTACATAGACSAGAGAACCTAGCCTCCTGTTCTTCCGTCTCATTTTGTTCTGGACTGTTTCCCCAGATCCAGATGGGGGGGTAAGCCTGCTGCCTGTCTCTCCTGCTGTTATGTGTGGAAATAGCAACGTGAAGCTCCTCCCTAACTATGGGGGAAAAGTTGACTAGAGTTGACATTAAAAAGGGTTGGAAGGTCCATTAGCATTTCAACGAGGGGAGCTGAGAAACCTGCTTTCATCTGTGGAGGAAATTTTAATCATTTCATAATTTGAGCAAGCTGCTCATTTCCATTTATTTTCTCCCCCTTTTTTTTCTTAGTATTATTTTGTATTTAAAAATTATCGCTCCCAGTCCCAAAAACATGTGAGTACAGAGTAATGACTAAATCACATCCAAAGTTAGATGAATGTGACTAAATGAAAATGAAAATTCAAGACTTTTTCCCCCCACAAATATCAGTCAATCAATTTTTATTCCAGACACATAGATGGTCCATAGTAA